AGTCCGAGCACGTTCTAGTTTACATCAAAATCAGTGTTGCAGAGTTAAGGATTTGAGCTGCACAAAATCTTCGGTGTGTGTTCGAAACCCATCGAAATTTCACACGCCCTGTAAGAAATGTTGACATCTAAAAAATGTATTAATAACGCTCTTCATAAACAGCCTTGCAAACCCAGGAAATTGAAACCGAATGGGAACAGGGTTGGGCCAGCAAAAATCCATCACTTAATTATGTGCAGGATGATTAATGGCATGTGCTGGGGGAGGGGAAATACCATTGCTGTTACAGATTTGGGACTGAATGTTTGAAATAGAGAAGAATTACTAAGAAAAAATGGTCTCGTGTTGGTACCTATTACCCAGAGCTTTATGGTAGTAAATATGTGTGTTTAGTTTTGTGGAAGTGCTGGTCTGGATTCAGATGAGCAGAAGACATGGTAGGTGGAGATGATCAGTCCAATGATGCTGGCGTTCCTTTTCCATGAAGGAACTTTACCATTTCCTTCCTTTTCCTACTAGAAGAGGAGAGATTGGGATGAGCTCTTGGGCAGAAGCTCTTCCCTGTGAGGGTGCTGAGGTGCTGGCACAGGGTGCCCAGAGAAGCTGTGGCTGCCCCATCCCTGGCAGTGTTCAAGGACACAGGGGCTTGGAGCAAGCTGCTCTATGGAAGGGGTCCCTGCCCATGGCAGGGGTTGGAACTGGATGAGCTTTAAGGGCCCTTCCAAGCCAAACCATTCCATGTTTCTGTGTGCTCATGAGGTTCCTCATGACACAGGAAAAAACACAACCACATCTCCAAGGGGTTCACTGATTCACGCCAAAATAACACTCTGCGGCTACAGAGGTGTATGTGTTTGCAGGTGCTGCTAAAGGGCTGTGATGGAGTTTTCTCCACCTCAGGGCAGAGCATCCCGGGATACCTGGGATGCTGCCCACAGCAGGACCCGCTCTGGCCGGACCTCACTGTGCACCAGCACCTGCAGGTGTACGCCGCTGTAAGAGGGATGAGGAAGGAAGATGCAGCAGTTGCCATCAACCGGTACAAAGCCAAATGATTTCAGCTTTTGGTTCTTCCTCCTGCTGGATGCATAGGACAGGGAAAGGATTTTCTGGTAGCAAACCTGGCTGCTGTAATTAAGAGGCAGCACCTTCTATGCCTCTTTGAGAAAGGGGCTCTCCTTCTGATGAGATCTGCTACCTTATACTGTTCTCAGCTCCTTGTCAATGAAGATTTTAGCCCTCCTTTATCTGGAGAACCCTAAACTTGCTCCAGTTCATGGCCAGTTACATGAGTAACTCGCTTTTCCCATTAGCTGTGATGGCTGCCTAGAATTCCTGCAAAAATTCCTTCATTTACCATCCAAGCTAGCAGTAAGATCACCAAGTAACCCAAGGTGATGTGTATCAGCTGAAACAAGTATGGTAGTGTCTGTTTCCTCAATACCCCTGACCCAGTATCCTGCCTTAGCAAACAGAGATGGTCATTTCAGTGTCTTTCCTTTCTATTTCCCGCAGCATAGAAAAGGCCTTGGATCTCCAGAAGCACTTAAGAACCCCAGCTAGGAGGTTATCTGCTGGAGAAGCCAGAAAGGTTTGTGTTAGATGTGTGTTGGCTGCTTCTAGCTTTTCTTAAGCTGCTTTCCTCCTTGAACATTGTGCGCAGAAAACCATGAGCAGAATGGTTTTGTTCATCAGAAATGATCTGTTTCCATCAGTAGCTTTTGAATCCAGCCTGGCAGGATCCCTCCCTCTCCTTTTTTTGCCATCCTCCCACATTGTGTGTTTAATAAATGCTAACCACAAATCGGATTTACAAGGTAATCACTTCTTCTTCATGCCACCCCTCATGTGCATCTTCCAGTAAATGGGATGGAAAACCCCTTTCAGATCTTTGGCAGGCTTGGGAGTTCTGGGGGAAGCTGATTTTAGGAGTTTAAAATATTAACTAAGAACACCTTGAGATGGGGATTTTTAAATCCCTGTTCCTCCTGTGTTTTGGAATCATGAGCTTCAGCTTCTAGGGGATTCACAGGGATTAAAGCGTAGAGGGACAACTCGCCTGTTCTGCTGGTAAAGTAAAAGCAGACCTGACCTGACCTCTGTGTCTTTCCCATTTCAGCTGTGTTTTGCATTGAGCATCCTGGGAGATCCGACGATAATGCTTTGGGATGAGCCATCAGTGGCCATGGACCTCAAAGGGCAGCACCGTATGTGGTGAGCAGCCATGTTTTAGCAGAGCTGAGAAGTGTGTGACAGACTTAACAGGATGGGTTTTACCATCCCTGTTGTAATAACCATTGGGCAGGCAAAGAGGTTCTGCTTTGGTGGCAGAGCACATCTTTATTTCCCTGTTTTCCTAAAGCACATGGGATGGGGTACCCTTAAACCCCTTATTCAGCAGGCAGTAAGCAGAACCACCAGGTGTGATTTTGATGGTAATGCACCCCAAAAAATCTGAGTAAGCACCAGTTGAACCCATGTATTTGGTATAAAAGATAAAAGTTGCTGTTTTCTTCTGAGCAACAGAAAAAATTATAGGTAGCTCTTCCCTTTCGTCCTTGATCTCTAGTGCTTAGCTCCAGCGTTTCATCAGCAGTTTATGCTGAAGGTGTAAGCTCTGGAGGGATGCTGACATGACAACTTGCAACACAGCATCAGCATCCACATGTCATCTTCACACAAGATAGCTGACGGCTTTTAGTCATCCTCTTATTTATGATTCTATCACTTCAGCTGGGGCTTGTGAGACACAAACCAGGAGATTTCCTGTGGCTATTCCTGGGAAGTAACTGTGATCTCTGTCCCCAGGAAAGTGATTCAGGCAGCCATGAAAAGCAAGGAGCGTGCAGCCATGCTCAGCACGCAGTACCTGGAGGAGGCGGCAGCGATGTGTGACCGCGTGGCCATCCTGGTGTCAGGGCAGCTACGGTAGGCACTGGGGTCTATGGGGGCTAGTGGAAGGTGTCCCTGCCCATGGCAGTGGGTTGGATGAGCTTTAAGGTCCCTTCCGACCCAAACCATTCTATGGTTCTATATTCTCCTTAATCTAATAGAAAATCTTGGTTTGGATTGTCCCAAGCATGTAACAAACAGTTTGGTGAGGAGGCTGTTTTAGCAGCACAGATCAAACAGCAGGTGAATGAGAGGACAGACATCTGCTGCTCATATCCAGTGACTGCTTTATTTGCTGATCATGATGGTTGGAGCAATGGTTTCCCTCCTCTGCAGGTACATCGGTTCCCTTGAGGATCTGAAGAGTAAGTCTGGCACAAGTTACCACCTAGAAGTCAAAATGACGGACCCGGGACAAAGCGATGCTCTCCATGCTGAAGTTCTGCACCTCTTCCCCTACGCTTCTTGGCAAGAAAGGTCACTGCCCATGGGCTGCACACCCAGCCCGGGCTTGTGCTGGGACCCTCTGTTGTTCCTTGCTCAATAGTTCACTCTCCAAGCACCCCTAAGCCTTGGTGCTGAGTCACACAATGATGAATTAATTGGTTTTATTACTTTTTCAGGACAACTTCTTCACTCATCTACAAGATACCAGTGGAAAATGCACTACCTCTGTCCCAGTCGTTCTCCAAGCTAGAAGCAGGTAAAAGGAAACAATCCATTAGGCAAGAAGATTGCTTTCAGATTGTTCATATGGATTTGTTTTTTACGGATGCCTTCTCCATCTCTCTGCAGCTAAACAGAATTTCAGGCTTGAGGATTACAGCTTGTCATTGCATTCTTTGCAACAGGTATGCTGATGTGGAAGTTACAGGTTAGAAACTGACTGTGTAAAAGGAAGAAATGGCCTGTGACCAGTGTAAAGCCTGGCCATAGTGGGGTTGTTTCTGATGTGGCATATTGCAGGTGTTTGTAGACCTCACCAGGGACCTGGAGGAGCACGACCTGGATGCAGCACCCGATGGGGCTGTGGAGCAGAGACCGCTTCACCCCTGATTCCTTGGACCCACAAAGGAAATATTCAGTGTATTTCATCAGTGTTACTGATGTGTGTGATCAGCTGTGGCTGTGGGACCTGGCTACCCGTGTCACAACACACATTGCTCTGCAGGTTTTCTGCCTCGCAAAGAAAACAAATCTTACTTTAATAAATAAAGCCTTTATCCTTTGACAAATTGATGCTTCCCTTCAACTGTACCCTTATGAAGATTTGCTGTGCTGAGGAATAGCCCTTCTGGGGTGAATTGCTGGTCCCAAGGCAGCAAGGTGGGCACTGTGGCTGTGCATGGTGGCTTGGCTGTTGGAGAGAATCATGTACAAATTCAGAGGAGGCTCTTAAACCCTCACTCATCCATGGCAGACACTTGGCAGCCAGGGCTAGTTTTAAATAACCAATTAAAACAACTGAATAACATAGAAACTCCCTACATTTGGGCAATCAGGTGTTTCCCCTGCTGCCCTGTTGACCTGTTTCTCAACCCACCCAGCCTCAGGGAAAGGCTGGGCTGGGGACCCACTAGAGGACAGTGGCAACTCCATCCAATGGGACTGATGCATCAGCAAGACCTTCACCCATACCATGAGCTCTTCTGGTTCATGTGGGTGATGCCAGTGATGAAGGTATGGATGATGCAGGTATGGGCGATGCAGGCAAGGAGGATGAAGTGGCTTACGCAGGCACTTACGGGTGTCTGGGCAATGCAGGCAGGGATGCAGGCAAGGATGTGGGCAGGCAGGTACCAGAAGGTGGCTGCCATGGCTCAGTTTTGGGCCCCTCCTGCCAGGAGAAGCCCCTAGGCAGCCACCCCAAACAGTCTTCCCACCCTGGTGACACTGTAACTTACTTACAAACACAACCTTTGCCATTCAGGGATGAGCCAGAGTCACCTTTTGCTCCTCGCCTGTAGCATTGTGCTGCGATATCACTGTTGTCTTCATCCTCCCTTGCTGCACTGAGAAACACACCAGAGTTTGCCAGAGAAAGGATATTTGTGTGGTTTGTTGTTGGGCTCATTTCACTTCTCTTGGCCCAGACTCAAGAATTTGCTGAGTAACTTTTCGGAGAATCCGCTCCAGCAACCCAACAGCAATACGCTCCGTTTGCTTTTTCTAACATAAATAAATCTGAACATCTGCCAAAGAGGAAGGTGGGGGAGGAAGCAAGGGAAAAGAGAAGTGATGGTGTGAGGAATGCCTTTCGGCAGAAGTGCTGGACTGAAGAAATGAGTGCGTGGACAAAGGAGCACTGAGAGCCACTGGGGCAGCGAGGCCAGTCCATCCCAGGGAGGATCAGCACCTCCACTTCTATAGGCACACTGCAAAGGATGAGCTCTGGATTCCTTTCAAACCTTTCTATCAAGGTAAGGTTAAGCATTCTTCTTCAAGCAAGTAAAAATTGCTACTTAAAGGGTATGAAAACATCCAGTAATTAATAACACTGTTAATATTGGCTGAGAATATGAATGCATAGGTGGGACACTGGGCATCTTTCCAACAGGCTGAGTTAAGCTTGTGATGAAGCTTAGTGACTACTTAAAGGTGACAGTGTGATATGCAATAACACACAAATGGAGCTCAGTTTATGGCAGAGGTCTGTTTCCAGAGGTTCTCAGTGCTAAGGGGATGCGTTAGGATCAGTTCAGATCTGTATTTTAGCTTATCCAGCACTCAAGGAGCAGATTTCTTTCCTGACATGCAGTGTAAGCTAAGGATCGAATTTAAAGAGTCTTCTGTCACTGAGCCCATGTCCCTGCTCGTCCTCCTGGCATGCTGTGCTAGTGCACGTGTTTGCAGCGTGCACTGAGGGAAGACCATTTGTTGCAGCTGCTTTTCCAGCATTCCAGTGCCTGCTGCCTCATTACACGGATCATGCCTCTCCTGTGGGCTGCATATAAATAACTGGAAGAAGATCAACTCTGTCTTGCCTGTCAGCGCTGTGAGGCATCATCCCCCAAAGGGAACAGCACAACGTAAATCCTCCTTCCATATGACAGGAAGGTTTGGAGGGATTAGATCTATAAATGTTCTGCTATTTCTACCTGAGACGTCACATATAGAAGATCAGCGTCTTGTTTGAAAGCATAGTTTATCTATATATGTGACAGCGGAGCAGTGAGTGTTGCTCTTCTGCATAGGGGGTACTTAATCCTTTTCCTCATTATAGGTACTCTTAATTACTGATGGTTAATATGGATGTATCTCATCTGCAAAATTTACTCTGGCAGCCAGCTCTGTGCCTGCTTCTTTAAGTTATCAGCACCAGCATTAATCCAGGCAACATATCTCTGTTTTGCTTTGACCACTTCTTTTGAAGGATGCTGCCAGGTCTGCTGGAGTAACACACCAAAACAGGCTTGTGACTGTCTGCTTCTCCCTTGTTTTCTATTAATATCCCCAGCAACAACAGCTCTCCCCACACACTTCCAAGAATTTGTTCTCTCGTAGCTCCACGTTGCCTTCAATCAACGCTGTTTTCCTTGTGAGCTCAGCTTACACCATAGCCAGGAGTTGCTCAATGCTTCTTGGTGTGAAGCCTTCAGCACATTAAGATGACATGCAGAAAGGTTTTGGTGATTTTAACTGACCGTGTTGTCATTTCTTGCCTATTAAGGCACCCATGCCCATTTCAGGTCATGTGGAATGATCTTCCCTCTTTCATTTCACAAATAACTCCTCCAGTTTTACCATGCTACAGCACAGAAGTGTGAAATTCTGGTTTTAATCAGTGTCTTACCACTGTAAGGGTTGGGATGTTGAGGATGATGAGATCCTGCCATGTTAGAAGCTGTGCTGCAGGGCTGGCTTGTGCTCAGCACATGAGGTCTGAACTGCTCCTTGCAGCAAGAACAGAGGGAAAGCATCACTGTTTTTCTGGCCTTTCTTGCGTTTGAAAGTGATTTGGGGCAAAAAAAAATCATGTTTTTAGGTTCAAAGATGAAGACTCTTCAGAGAAATATGAGTGTGTTCCAGCAAACTAAAGTTCTCTTGTGGAAAAATATCCTGACGAAGTGGAGGATGAAGACGCAGAGCTTTCAGGTAAGCTGAAATAGAAAGACAACAGTGAGTAGTCAGCCACTGAGAGTGGCCAATCCCTGCCTGCCCTAAGTTAAAGTAGTCTTGAAAAGCTTGGCTGGTAATAGACACCTTGAGACTTCACTTTCTTAACTGGTATTTCTGTCTTTCATGTGAAATATGAGAGCACAGATGGGTTCTTTGGGTAATTTCCTGAGGTAACAAGCACGATGCAAAGACCGTTGGTTAGTTAACATCTACGGTACCTGTGTGACTTAGTGCTTCTTGTATTTTAATCCCACACAGAATATGCTTTTGTACTGTTATATATTAAATCCTCTTCTCTGCTCTCCCCCTCTCCTAGGAATGGATGCTGTCTCTGCTCTTTCTGCCACTGATTTTCTTGTTGTGCATGTTCCTGAGGAGCATTCGCTACCCTGAAGTGCCTTATGGCTACCTCGGGCAGTTGGATGATCCTGCCTATGATGCCACTGGGGTCACCATCGCTTATACACCCATCACTGTGACCACAAGGCAGATCATGAATAAAGTGGCCTTGAACTCGGTAATGACAGGTATGGTTGGCTTGCTAAATATGTAACTTTGTCATTTTTTAACCTATTGTACAAGTTTTGTGTTTTATTGGCTCCCCAATATCTTTGGTCAGGGGAGAAAATTTGTCCCAAGTTTTCCATTCTCATCAATACTTCTTCTCTAGTATTTAAATTGCTACTGAGTGCTTTAGAGCAGCAAAGCTGAACCTTTCCCAATATTCACTATGTAGACTAATACTATTAAGACACCTTGGTTTGTTCTTCTGAGGTACATTTCTCAACAGATAAAGTATGAAGGATTTTAAAGTGCCACCCCATCCCATGAGGAGAACTGGGAAGGAGGAGCTGCAATGCTAAAAAAGCAGGATATAACCCCAGTGTCTGGGCATGTATTTCCAGACCTAAAAAACCTCATTGCAGTTCTTTTCTTACACACCACAGGTATAATATTAGAAGCACTGGACAGTGAGAGAGCCCTGGAAGAAGCCTGGATTTCAAATAGAGAAATTATAGGGGTTGTATTTAAGGACAACGTCTCCTATCACCTCAGGTTTCCTGCTGAGAATGTGGCTATTCCAAATGACAACTTTGGACACATAGGTAATACCAAATGAGGATGTATGGGTGGGTGATTGCCTGGCATGGACAGAATTGCTTTGTTGGAATAATCCATATCTGATCAGTGATTTAACAAGTTGTTATGCTTTTGGTCGGGGGGGCACTGTCCATTTGCAGAGTCCCCAGAGTGCACATGCATCTTAGCATCAGCTTTTGCAGTGAAAACCGTTTACCTTTCACTGCTCTTACCTGTGATTCCCTTCACTTCTCACCTTGCAGATAACTGTTTTGATTTCTCATGGTCGAGCTGTCGTAGCCCAAGGTACTGGTACAAAGGCTTCCTGTCCCTGCAGGCCAGCATCGATGCTGCTATTATAGAGGTAAATGGGATTTATGGCCTGATGTAGGTCTCCTTTTGTTTTAAGCTTGGTATAGGAGAGACAAATTGTTCTGTGGCAATAGCAAAGTCAGAAAATTCTGCATAGAAATAACCTTTTTAAATACTCAGCCACCCAAGTACTATTGGCAGTGCCAGTGGGAACCTGAATGCAATCAGTGGTTCCTGGCTTTAGTTTCTCTTAAAGGCTGGGAACCAAGTGTAATACCATTATTTGATTTAGGGAATTACCCAGATTCCAAGGAAAAGGCAGTTCTTGCAGGAGACTGGGGTGCTCTGCCTATCTGTTGAATTATTTGGTTTCAAAGTAGGCATGTCTGGAATTTCCTGTCCTTCCTTTCCAAATTGTTCCTCAAAAGTATACCAGGATAGGCGTCATTTCTCCTGGCTGTGCATCTCCAGTTGTCCAGGCTGGTTTTGTACCTGGGGAGAGAAACAGAGCACTGGGGAATGTGAATCATTTGTGTGTCTGGATCCTTACCTCTGGGTGAGCTTGAAGGATTTATCTCTCCAATTAGACGAAGGAGGCAATCTAGCTGAGGTGCAGAGATGCAAATGAGTCAGATGAGCCCTTTCTATTGGGCTTTATTGCATTACTTGTTGGTGTTTTCTATAAAGCTGCATTCAAAAGTACACCTAAAGATGGTGAATCAGAAGGTTCCTTATATAAATCCATCTCACTGTAGAAAATAAATGCTGAGGTGCTGACCTTGAATTCCTTTAGGTAGTGGCAAATCATTCTGTTTGGGAAGAAATGAAATCAATTGCTGGTGTCCGTATGAAGTCCCGAAGCGTCATCCCCTCCATCACACTAAACTACAGTTACTTCATGATTACTATCGTGATGTGTTTCTCCCCATTCATGTATTTCTTGTCAATGAATGTTGCAAGAGAAAAGAAGCAGCTCAAAGTATTGATGAAGACAATGGGGCTGCAGGACATTGCATTTTGGTGAGTTCTTTTTTTAACGAAGGTGTGTTTGCCAGAAATCAGTATATGCCTGGGCACTTGAGCAGTCACTTAATAAGTTAAATGAGCTCATAAGTTTTCTCCAGTACTCTAAGGACAAACCAGAATTGCTGAGCATGGCAGTCGTGTGTTCTTCTTCCTTGATGTTTCTTCCTCAGGTGTATGGTGCTATCTGTTCTGCCTAGGGTAGGAATGAGTTGACCCTGGGAAATAATTAATACCTAAATGTCAAATGGTTCTGGCACGCAGATTAAGTTGCAACAACAGTTCTTATTTAAATGACAGTGCCATGCCCCCTTTCATCCTCAGGCTCTCCTGGAGTCTGCTGTATGCTGTTTACGTGCTGGTCCTCTCCTGCCTGCTGACAGCTGTCATGGTGCAGAATTCTTTCTACCTCAGCAGCTTCCCTTCGGTCCTATTGCTGTTTTTCCTCTATGGCCTAGCATGTGTAAGTCGGGTTTTACAACCACATTTTCTCACTACATGGTTTATTACACTGCTGATGAGCCTTTTGCACAGTGCTCAGGACTGCATCCTTTGTATGGTCATACTGATTGAAATAGCTGTGTGGATTCTCTGGCTCGGCAGCAGTGATTTCAGTCGCAGCCTGAAGGTCTGACAGGCAGTAGGTTGGCTACCAAAGACCTGATTTGAAAGTCAGATCAACTCACTAAGAAGGATTTTAGTGTGTTTTATGACATGGACTCGGCTCAGGAGCGATCTCTTTGCCTGCCAAATGGAGGCGCTATGGTAAAAGAGATTTATTCCGCGATTGACGGAAACTTCTGTTCTTACAGATCCACCTGGTTTTCATGCTCTGCTCCCTATTAAGGACCTCCAAACTCGCTGGCTTTGTGGCCTTCCTCATCACCCTCCTCTTCGGATGCCTGAGCCTTGTGGTGCTGATAGAAAAGCTTCCAGAACCAGCGAAATGGTTTCTTGGTCTCTTCTGTCCTTTTGCATTTAACGCTGGCATTGCAAAGGTATGGCACGTCACCTCTGCAGCTAAACCTTCCCAATAGTTTGCTGTCCTGGGCAAACAGTGAGGACAGAGCATATTTTATCACAGACAGAGGCCATAAAGGACCCTGCTGTGCTTTGCTGGTAGAAAAAGGCATGGGAAGTCACGGTCCTCATTGCAAAAGACCAGTTTCTCCACATCTGTAAAATCTTCAAGTACTCTTCATTCACACCTATGAGAGGCGAGCTGCTGTTGGGCAACAAAGAGGGGCTCCAATGCTCCCATCCCATTCCCCTATTTAAAAGCTGATGAATGCAAAGAAAACCACAGCCCTCCTCACAGTCTATCATTGTGCGCTTCAGCAGCACCCATGTGAACCCGAGGAAGCTGCAGCAAACCCATTGCCGCACACAACAGCACCATTATCCTCTGGGGCTGGACCCCAGGCAGATGGGAGTTGACTTGGGGACATCAGCTCTTCTCAACCCGGTCATTCCCCTCCTGCTGCAGCGACTCTTCCTGGCAACAGACTGTTGTTTCCAGATTGTTCTGGAAAATTCAAACTGAAGCCATAAGATCTCTGCATGGAGTAAATGTATTTCCTTTCCTCACTAGATAGAAAGGAAGGAATACTGGTCAGTACTGCAGATGAAGTCTGGGTTAACAAAGTGAATTACACCTGCAGTTCGATGGCATCTCCATAGTTTTCCAGCCTGCAAATTATCCTTCTTTGTCTTTTATTTCAGGTTTTCCATTTAGAAAAATACGGAATGGGTTTCTCTTTTTCTAACCTAATGGAGGATTCATACTTTCTATTTTCAACTTACATTATGCTGGTCTTTGACTCAGTCTTGTACATGCTGTTAGCTATGTACTTCGACAAAGTTCTCCCAGGTAGGTATAATTTATACTTATGATTATACTCTCTCATTTTATACCTTTGATTTCTAAGGATTGCCTGTAATAGCTTGTCAAGGAAATGAGGGCCTGCTCCATTCTCAGAATGGGTCTTGGACTAAAAACCTATATTATGTTACTGAGTGACTTTTCAGCCCCTGGCACACACACTCTTAAGTCCCAAATCAAAGACAACAAAGTACTTAGTGGTTTTTCTTTCTCTTAAATTGCTGTTGAGCTGTTTATGAGAAAACAGAGCCGGATAATATGTTAATTCATTAAGTAAATGCTAGGTATATGCCTGAAGCCAGCCTTCTTGCCTCTCCTAACCCCGCCTCCAAACCTCTCTTTTTAACCCCTCAAAGTACTGATTTTGAGGCAGCCAGGTTCTTATTAGACCCTCCTATAGGTTTAGTCCCAGATGGTGTTTTGGTTGTGGCTTTGGTTAATGACAGATCGTCTTCTCTGCTTTCCTGTCAGGCAAATACGGCATCCCAGACTCCCCTTTTTTCTGCCTGGAGCCCTCATACTGGGTGCGGAGCAGGAGAGGCTCCACCAGGAAGATGCCCCGAACTCCAGTGAACCCTGAAGAGCTCCTCAATGATGATGTAGAGCCGGTGCCCTCTGAATTCATGGGGAAAGAGGCCATCAGGTAAAGAGAGGAGTTGCTGTTCAGAATTTTTCATCTGGGGAGCTTGGGTTTAATGCTCCCACCGCTTCCACCATCAGCTTTGTTTTGATTTATCCAGGCAGTTTTTGTGTTCATGAGGCTCTTGCAAAACACTTTATTTCACAGAGAAATATTAGAGGTGGAATGCAGGTCAGATAAATAGATAATAGCAGGGGTTTTGGTGTAGACCTGGTTAAACATCCATTAGGAGCCTTGTCTTTGCAAGGCTGGATGCTCTAGTATTTTGTGCCAGGTAGAGATGTTCACACCTGTATACAGAGCATACCAAACCAAACCATAATATCCTACTTACCTTCCTTTTAGACTCAGCAATATTAAAAAAGCATATAAGAAGAAGGACAAGAAGATAGAAGCTTTAAGAGGTGAGAAAGCCTTGATACTGATTCCTGTTATAGATGAGGGAAAACAGTTGTGCAAACATTTTGGTCAAAGAAATACAACACTTGCATTGCTTAAAAATTTATGTCAAATATTGATGTAACTGATCACTATTTTGTTCAGTTTTCACTGATTCTCCATATTTAATAAGACTTAAAGAGATCAAAGATTTTTTTTTCAATTGTTTTTCTGTCTTATCTGTGAAATACAGCAATTTCTTCTGTCTTTAGTTAAAGGTTTGCAGAACTTTGCCCCACATTGTTTAATGCACTTTTCAGTAATTATTGCTACCTAGTCCTTATACTCCTGAACTTGTCCTACCTTCAACAATGAGCAGAGCCAAGTCAAACCTTATTTATTCCCAAACTTGATGTTGTTTTCATTCTAGGTTTGTCTCTAAATATTTATGAGGGTCAGATCACTGCCTTACTTGGCCACAGTGGGGCTGGAAAAACGGCACTGTTAAATGTGCTCAGTGGGCTCACTTTCCCTTCCGAAGGTAGGATGGCAAGTAGTGGGCTTAATTCAAAAGCTGTAAAGACCAGTTTGTTCCACCTTACCACTTTTATTCCTATAAACAGGCTCTGCAACCATCTACAACTACAAACTCTCTGAAATAGGAGATAGGGAAGAGATTCGAGAGATGATTGGCATCTGCCCCCAGTTCAATGTACAGTTCAGTGTCTTAACAGTGAAAGAAAACTTGAAAACCTTTGCAGAAATCAAGGGCATCAGGTCCAAAGAGGTAGAGCAAGAGGTAAGTGTGTGTCCCGTGAGCACACCCCTGGAATGCATCATGTTTCAGCAAAGGCTCCTTTGGGAAGCTCAAAGGGTCCTCCTGGTTGTGTCTTCTGAAAACCAAAGCTGGTTTTGACCATCAACCAGGTTAGTAGGCAAGCTTGTGAACTTGATGCAACCACAGTACTACATCTGCTCCACCCAAGGAGATGAGCGGATGATCTCTTGCTGGTGATGGTAGACCTTGGTCCATGCTCTTAGAAACTGCACCTTCAATCCCAGCCAGATCTCCTTCATGACTAGTAAAGGATGGAAAGACACTTGGTGCTGAGAATGGACATCCTTGTGCTGTTCTAGGTGCAAAACATTTTGGAACTGCTGGATATAAGTAACATTCAAGACACTCAAGCAGAGAAACTCAGTGGTGGGCAGAAACGGAAGTTATCCATTGGAATAGCCATGCTTGGGAACCCCCAGGTAAAGCAGCAGGCATGGCTCTGTAATATAAGGAATGTTTAGGTCCAACATAAGTAAAACCTTGTCATGTACTTGGCTACAAGTTCTTGCATGACTTCAGACATCTTTAAAGTTCTCATAATTGCTAATATTAATAATTTTCATTATATTGCTGATCCATCGTGCTAGTTTAGTTTTAAAGCACATAGACAGTTCCTTGACCTCAGCTCCCAGAATAGATGCCTTTGCACAAAAGGTGGCCTGGGTCTCTTGCCTTCAGGACTTGAGGTTTTCAGAACACCAAACCCAAAAGATGTGCAGTAACCCTGGCATGAGGAACGTCTGATTTAATCCGTTCTGCAGGTTTTGCTCCTGGATGAGCCAACGGCTGGGTTGGATCCTCTTTCCAGGCACAATGTGTGGAGCCTCCTCAAGGAGCACAGAGCTGGACGAGTGATCCTGTTCAGTACCCAGTTCATGGATGAGGCTGATATCCTCGCAGGCAAGCACTGGCTCAGCCTGCAGCATCTCTGCAGAGCAACCCTGGAGCAGAAAGCTCATGAGGTTCAGTTGCAAACCAGTTTTGAACCACAGCTCTACAATATAAATCCCTTTGGCTTATTTTTCCTCTAGACCGCAAGGCTTTCATCTCACATGGGAGGCTGAAGTGTGTTGGTTCTTCTCTGTTCTTGAAGAAGAAATGGGGGATTTGCTACCATTTAAGGTATCTACTTCAGCCCCAGCAATGGGTATCTGGGAATATTCATTTACAGGGAGCCACCAGAATGAGTGTCAGGGGGAAATCATATTGCAGATGTCATTCAAACCAAGAAAATGAACTTGATTAATACAGTTAAATAAACTGAAGCAGGAATTTACTCCCGAGGAAGGAATGAATGAAATACACTGGAACATTCTTTGTATGCATCCAAGCAAACCCAGTGGTGGTGGTTGTTCGAGCTTGGGGTCGTGTTTGGGTTTGGGGGATTATTTGTGTTTGGGTTTGTTGGGCTTGTTTGGTTGCTAGGGTTGGTTTGTTGTTGTTTCAAGACTAAGCATCTCTCTTTTTATGACTGAACAGGATCCATGTCAATGAGTCCTGTGACTTAAAGAACGTGACATCTCTGGTTAAACGGTACATCCCCAATGTCATATTCTCAGAACACAGTCAATGTGAACTGAGATATAAACTGCCACTAGAAAACATGAACAAATTCCCAGGTAAGGTGTATTAAAATAATTCAGAATTGTCCATAGGGAAACGAGATAATCACAAATGTGGGGAAAAAGAAATGGAGAGATTTTCTATAGGAGTCACATAAGGAATTAGAACTGCTCCATTATGGTTTTGCCCTACAATTTTAGCATAGAATCATAGAATATAGAGTCACACAATTGTTTGAGTTGGAAAGGGCCTTAAGGTCATCCAGTTCCAGCCCCTCTGCCACGGGCAGGGACACCTCACACTCAACCATGTCACCCAAGGCTCTGTCCAACCTGGCCTTGAACATTGCCAGGGATGGAGCTTATATGTGCTTATATTTGCAACCTTGGAGGCACTCGTGTTACCTGCTTCTTGCAGATCTGTTCAGTGGCCTCGACAGCTGCTCTGACCAGGGAATTATCAATTATGGAGTTAGCATGACAACCCTGGAGGATGTCTTCCTGAGGCTGGAGGAAGAAGCCACAGTGGATCAAGAAGGTACAATCGTGGCTGCAAACGCACAACCCGCAGCCAAAGGGAGCGGCTACTTTGCAATACCCCCTGGCTATGCCTCCAACAGCTGGTTACTAGATGGCTCTTAGGCTTTCACACCTTACAACATAGAAGCTGGTCTTAGACATAAACGTGCACGTGGAAAACTCTCTGCAGATGAGCACGTCCTCCGGGAAGAGTGTGCAGAAGTGGGATCACGATGCCCTGATGAGATGGAGCCGTGCTCCCTGCTGCTCTCGGACTCTGGGAAGGCGGCAGTCGTCGGCTTGGCTCTCTGGAGGCAGCAGGTCTCTGCCATGGCGTGGGTCCACTTCTTAAAGCTGAAGAGCTCAGTGAAAAGCCTGCGGTCCATGTAAGTACCAAGGTGATTCTATCTTGCAGATCTGAACAATCACAGCAGGCTGTTTCAACGAGCATTTAGATTAGTTGGTGTCAGGTCTTAGCAATGAATGATCTTGGTAATCTGCACTCAGAGGAGAGAAAAGCTTCTTCTTTTCCAGTGCCAGTAATACAAAATCTCCCTTTTGTGCATTTTCCCTTCTGTGCTGAGTAATTTATGCAATGGAAACCCAATTTCTTTCTGAAGAAAAGAATCATTTAGAAACACTTTTATTTCAGATGGAGGGGGAAGTTTCAAAATAAACCACTGTGTACAGAGAGAGGGAAAAATGCTACTATCAGGCTTCCTCTTTTAACTTAAAATTCTCTCACGTTGCCAATGTTGAACTATTTTGGCCCCATTGATCTTCAAGCTGGTATTTCCTGCTGGGGTGCAAGAAACCAATGGGAGATGCTGATTTATGCATCTTTAAGGAAATCTGAAAAGCGTTTTATGGCTCTAAAATTTGAGCATTGCAGATCTAAGGTTTCTCTCCCTGATGCATTCTGAGGTTGTTTGCGAATGATCAAATTTGAGACTTCTGAAAAGAAAATTGCCAAATATCCTTAACAGAAGGAGCGCTGGGTAACCTGAATACAGTTTAACCATTCCCAATAGGGAACCTCATTCTGCTGAAGGTCTGTTTTCAGAGTGTTTATCCATCTTTCTCTTTAGTTTGCTGCTCTATGTGGTTTTCCTGCTTCCTGTGGTTTTGCAACTGTCCCTGCTTGCTGTGTGGCAGAGAGCGAATGTTTGGGAGCTCTCATCTGCACGGTACTTCTTGCCCCAGGGGAAGAGGGCTTGGTCAGAGACAACAACCAGCCTCCTGGTCCACAACAACACCGGTGAGGACAACGAGCCTTTCCTCATCCTTTCCTATGCTGGGCCTGCTTGGCTTTGCAAAGGAAAATAGTGAAAGAGGAGACGGTTGTAGGATGTAGGGGATCTAAGGCATGATGGAGGGTTTTGTGATGGAGAAGCATGGGAATTGTCACTTTTAAAGGGTTGTGAAGGAAACCCACTGGGTAAGATCCTGGTGCAATGATGTGAAAAGGGATATCATAGCAGATGGGATTAGAAGGGACCCAGTTCTTTCCCTGCCCCAAATCTAGACCCCTATCCAAAAGTCTCTGCATTTTCAGAGCATGGGATTCTCAAACCACACTCCAGTAAAGGCACACAAATGCTGAGTAAAATTAATGATCTAGTTCGAGTTTTATCTTCAATGTTCCTATGAGTGGATGCTATTTAACATTATTTGGCCAGAGTATGAGACTGTTGACTTCATCAGACCACCACAAAGGAGGATATATTTGGTAGCAGTTCAGGAAAGGCAGGGGAAAAAATGACAATGCAAAAATGCAGTCAGTGAGACTGAAATCCATTAACTTCACAAGAATTGATGTGCAATGATCCACCACGTGTGTGCTGTCTGATATCCATGGTTGTTAGACTTCCTCAGGTTCTGTTTGGTGGTCATGGATTTGAAGAAAACCCCCAACCTATCAAAGACTCTCCTGTTGTCCAGTATTGTGATTCCTCTGCTTTTGGCTTTCACACCAGGCACAGCCATTGAAGACTTCATCCACGTGCTCGAAAGCCAAGACCTCACAGTGGAAATAACAAGTGAGGAAAACATCACAGAGGAGCTAAAACACAATGGGGCTATAAAGGTGTCTCGCAAAGGTCAGGTGAGGAATTTTGTTCTCCTGTTTCTTCCCAACAACTGAATGACTTAGCATGATGCATCCATCTGGTCTACCTGTGGGATGGTCTTGAATAAGGCCCGAGGGTTGAAAGATGTGGAAGTGTTTTAACCAGTAAACTACATGATAGAGGAGACCTTATCTCCTTCATCCTCCACCTCAAACTTCACATTTTTTGTAGTACCAACTTCTAATAACTTATAATCTGTTTTTTTAGCAAACAAAGCATAAGCAAAATTATTCCAGGCTTGGAATCTCCTGGTGTGCTCCTTTTCTACTGCAGATGAGAGAAGCCAAGAGTTTTTATCTTGTTTTCTCGCTCTTTCAAGAGCTACAGGTTTACCGTGTTATGCCACCTGGAGACTGTCAACTGCTTCCCGGTGCTTGTGAATGTCATTAGCAACGCTCTGCTGAAAGCCTTCAATTCCACCATGCACATTCGGATCTGGAGCCATCCATTTTTCTCTGTAAGTGCCAGAGCCAGAAGGTGTCAGAAAATAGTCCTTAAATCTGATTAAGGCCTCAGTAACTCATCAGATTTAAAAGGGAAGCCTGTGGGCTGTATGTGCCTGTAAGCCCCCCTTCCTCAATGCTCACTCTGGACCATTTGACTTCAGACAAACTGAAGGCTGGGAGGGCTTCTTCAGGAGGTTCCTTATTCTCTACTTCACTTTGCAGGGCTGTGGTTTGAGGAAAACCTTCCTCCTGACAGTATTTGCTTTCAAGTCTCACTTTTTGTTTGTCCTGTCTTTCATGAGAAATGCAGTAAAACAAATCATTGCATCTTGCCTTTTGCATGGCATATGTTTTACACAATGCTTTGTTCTTCTTTTTCAGGTAGACGAACCACAGTTCTGGAATATTTTTGCTACTTTTTACCTCTTTTATATGCTGTTGTTATTCCCTGGTTTTCCTCCACACTTTGCAATGGGCTATATGCAGGATTACAAGGTAAATGGAGGCAGATTTGGGGTGCACAGAAGGGATTACAACTGAGTTGACACAAGGAAGTTTGAGTATGACGCCATGAGCAGCTTTGAAGCCAGCAACAGACTGCTCTTTCCATTCTGTCTTCCCAGGCAGGAGCTCGTGCCCAGCTGAGGGTCTCAGGGCTCTTTCCCTCAGCATACTGGTGTGGCCAGGCACTGGTGGACATCCCACTGTGCTGGCTCCTTCTCTTCTCGATGTTTGGGCTCCAGTTTGCATTGAGCACCAAAACTTCCTGGCACACCGACGTCCTCTTCCTGCTGGTACATCCCATTCTCATGATTGCTGGCTCACCAAGGGAGGGATTGAGGTAGTATTTTGAGCACATGTAGAGATACAGGAGACACCTCTGCGTCCCCAGGTGCTTATTGACCTTCTCCTTGTTTCACCTCCTGTCGTTTGGGTTTTCCCAGCTGGAAATAAAAGGCAATAAATCTTGCCTTTAATATACTCCTTTACACTTGGCAGTAGAGTTGTGGTAATTTATGAACACCTTGATCTTAACGTATGATCGTTTAAACTGAACCACATTGCTATATATATATTCCTGGTTGTTTAGACAACTCCAATTTCTAATGAAAGCCCTTTCTTTCTGTAGATCACAGGTGCTCTTAGCTATGGAATTTCTATTGTTCTCTTCACTTATGTGATCTCCTTCGTCTTTCGCAGAGGATGGAACTGTGATTTTTGGTCTTTTATCATGATAGCGGTAAGCATATGGTTAGAAAATGTGCTGTAGGCTTTACAGAAATGTATTTTGAGATTGTAAGGATGAACTCTATGTCAAAACACCAAGTACACATGAAGAACATAAATATGAGCATGTGTTTTATAGCAGTCACTTCTGTATTAAATTCCTGACACCATGTTCTATTCCTATAATCCTACTGTGGCACAGGGAAATGCTTGGATATACCCTGCTCTGGTGCAGGAATGAAGGCAAAAAAAAGTTATTTATTGCTCTGTTCAACACTTTGCATCCAGGAGATGTAAGGTGTTGAAATATGAGCCATCAGGTTAGATGCAGCCTGATCTGGGTTATTTGGCATGAACTTGGGATGGAAAGAACAGGATGGGATGCCATGCTTCATTGATCTGCCTGGGAAGAAGTTTCCCCAGCTGACCCAAATCAGCATCCTACCCTCAGGCAGAGATGGCTGAGAATGTCCTGATCCCTCACTGTTTCTCATCTTTATATCTCTTGTCCACCTTCAGGAATCCATCAGGGAACTGAAAAAGTAGAACCCACACAACTTTAAAGGCTAGTGATGAGCATGATCTTCCCCACCATCTAAGTTGCTCTCTTACTTTATTCTTAGGTATGCTTCGTTACTTGTATCATCAGCAAAGTCATGGATTTTTCTGTGGGTATCAGAGCCACCCTCTATGTTCTGTCTCTCTTGATTCCCTTGTACCCACTGCTGTGTTTAACGATGAGCTGCATGCAGGTAAGCAATGCTGCTGAGCAAGGAAAGGCACCCCACCATAGAACACAACTATGTGTCCTTGTGAGCAAAGTCTGGTGATACCTACACATCGTGCTCTGGGAAGGTTCCTTAGTTTTCTCTCACGGGTGGGATTTTCCCAATGGCAGGAGCGCATCATTAGATATCCATTTCAGATCAGATTTGATTTTCCCTGCTGCTCATTATGGTCAGGGGATACTTCTGGTGCTTGAGCTGTGATTGTAGATTAGGATCTTCCCATGTGGAGTTGAGCAACTTGGCTTGAACAATCATAAGAGAAACTTACACATCTGATGTTGCATGGAAACAGAGGGAGAATTCAGAATACTCACAAGGTGCTTTACTTCATGTCAGCTAAGGGGGGGGGGGGGGGGGGGGGGGGGAAAGTCAGCTAGGAACTTAACACCACCCTCCAGCTACATACAAGACCACTTACGAGCCCCAAATTACTTAGGAGTGAGTCCAAATGGAAGAGACTCCTCCTCTGTCCTGTCCCATTCACCTCCACCTCTTCTCTGCTGGGACCCCAAAGGTTTTCTCCAGTTTCAAAGTATTTGTTATTTGCTTTTAACCCTTCCAGAATTAGCCAGCAGCTCTTAACTATGTATTTTCTTATTATTCTTGCAGGTTTTTGTAGACGATGAGAGTTTTTTTGATTTGATTCCAAAGACCGATCTACTAATAACTGTCTTTGCAGTAAGAAAACATTTAAGATTACTTTTATGTAGTAATGCATGCCTACTAAACCCTGCCCTCAGGTATCAGCAAACAGGCAAGAACCCTGGGCTCATTTCATGCAGCAGGATGAAAATGGGTTACCTCCCTGTGCAAAAACAGCCTTGCTCCTTTGAAGTGGGGAAGGGGAAATGGAATAAGCCCAGATCACTTAATGCTGCCCTGTTATTTTTATGAATGATGCTTTTCTTCTATTGCTATTTTCTGGAGTATTGGCAGTTCATCTCCTTCAGGATCACCCCAAATTTAGATGTTTCACACACTATGGTTTTCCCCCACTTATTTTATAACCCCGCCACCACCGTCTCAGTTTCAGCCACAGTAGGTGGAAGGCAAAGCTGTTAATGTGGCAACCTCTCTTTTTCAGCCTTTGATCCATTCTGTGGGTTTCATTTTTCTTCTTCGATATTTGGAGATCAAATATGGAAGAGCAGTTCAGAGAAAGGACCCGATATTTAGGTTGGTATAAACACACGTACACCTCAGACACATGTGAGATCTAAACTGCTATCACACTGCTTTACCTTGAAGACAACATTTGGGTCAGATATCATTGACTTTGTGTCCCTATTTTTAAATATATGTTTAAATACTGGTGATTTTTTTATAACTAAAATAACCTCTTAAACACTGCAGAGTGATAAAACAGCTCTCAAGCTTGCTAGTACCTCCATATGGTGTTTCATGTTTGTAGGATTTCCCCAAGAAGACAAAGCAGCCACCAGCATCCTGAAGAGCTTGGAGAGGAAGATGAAGATGTTAAAGCTGAAAGAGCAGCAGTGAGAAATGCCATAGCGACCCTGAGTCAGGAGGAGGTGTGACCAAATCTATCTTATTTTATACCAATAAAAAGTCCGCTGGTAAAAACCAAATCACCAAGTATTAATAAGCACAGGTCAGTGTTTTGGCTGTGTTATCCTCATAGGGAAAATCCAACACCCGTATGTACAGTGTGGGCCCCATCAGGATAGAGACGAAAGCTGTTAAGAGGAACACGAACCGTAAAGTGTCCTTTTGCACCTCAGATTCCCAATGAATTAGAAAACAAAAGATTTTTAGAAGGTTTTCTGCCTTTTTTTAATGGAAAAATATTACTGAAGGCTTAATGCTATCCAATATAATAGACTGATCTTTCTTCTCCCTCCTCGCTTTCAGAAATCAGTCATCATTGTCAGCAATCTATGTAAGGAATATAAAGTAAAGCAAGCTGGTTCCATTTTTAAGAAGAAGAAGAAGAAAATGGCCACCAAAAATGTTTCCTTCCATGTTAAAAAAGGTGAGATCTGGAACTGTTCTCCTTAGACCTGATTTGGACCCTGATCATACCCAGAGAGTTAATTCTCACTTATCTGAACAAGGATGTAAAGGTCAAATCTATTTGTTCTGTGGTTAGGGCATGTTCAGTCTGTGGTTGATGTGATAATGGACAGTGTAAGGTGGAGGCATCCTATTAGTTACCTTTGACTCTGTTACCCAGAACAACGTAGCTCCAGCATCCACTTGAGCAGAGGCTTCTGAGAGCCCTGGGAGCAGTGCTCAGGCTCCCAGCATCATTAGAGTTGAAATATTATGGGCTCTCAGGGCATATAGTTATACTACTTACCTTTATATGTCTTTGTTATTATTTGTATTTTTCTTTTGTGGGACTGTGCCTGATGTATTTCTTGAATGGGAAGTATTACTAAGAAATTATACGCATTTATTCCAGGAGAAGTATTAGGGCTGCTGGGGCCCAACGGAGCTGGTAAAAGCACAACTATGAAAATGATCACTGGAGAGACAACACTGACTGCTGGGCAGGTAGGAGAAAGGGGAGAGATCCATGATAAAAACATGAGTGCAAACCTTGTTCCTAGGCTAAGCTATCATTATTTTACAAAGCATTATGAGTGATCAAGGTTTTAACTGCATTCACTGTGCTATTGAATTGTATTGATTGTATTAAATTAAATGTATTGATTAAAGATATTCACAGAATCATAGAGTGGGTTGTGTTGGAAGGGACCTTAAAGCTCCTCCAGTCCGAACTGCTTACCACAGGCAGGGACCCCTTCCACTAGAGCAGCTTGCTCCAAGCCCCTGTGTCCAACCTGGCTTTGAACACTGCCAGGGATGGGGCAGCCACAGCTTCTCTGGGCACCCTGTGCAGCGCCTCAGCACCAAATTTTGAGCTACATCTGACTTTGACAAGCAGTTGCATCTACCTTAATTGTCCATGGATATCTTTAGAAGCAATGCGAATGAGGGTTGCAGAATCACTTCTTTGCTCTTTGGGTTTCCTCATCTAAATCCCAGTAGTCTTGCCCTTGTATCTGTATCTGGGCAAGGCTATGAGAGCAGAACTATCACCTTATTTGTGCAGGTGCTGATGAAGAAAGGAAATGGAGCAACTTCCCACCTCCAGGACCATGCACCCTCCTTCCTGGGGTACTGCCCACAAGAGGACCCACTCTGGCCAGACCTCACCGTGCACCAGCACCTGCAGGTCTATGCGGCTGTGAAAGGGGTGCCCAAGGAGGATACAGCTGCTGCTGTCAACCGGTATGGATGTAGGATGCTTCAGGGGTTGGCCAATGGTTTATCCCCACTCCTAGGCCACAAGGAGGGGACCAGAAAGTCAAAATTCACTCTAAGCCATAAAGAAGCTCAGGAATGGAGCTGCAAAACTGATTTTGTGCTAAATGCTGTGATTAAGTGAGTGGGTTAAGAAAATCCCCAATTTGCCTGAGTGCATCTACTGAGGATAAATTTACCACTAATGCCCTTTTAAGTGTGTTATCTTTAGGAAGCTTTTCTGAAATCTGATGTTATAGTTGGGAACTACAAGAAAGGATGCTTAAGCACTGCAGGCTCAGCTGACATTGGCAAGGTGGAATGGATTTATAATGCTGTTGACACTAATGCTGGGTTTAGACAAAAGCTTGTGGCTTATTCAGTACACTTTGCTTCAAGTATTCCCTTCCATTTTAATAATGCAATAAATGTTTAATGAAAACAATCAGGAGTGAAAAGCAAGGGGAAGAAAGTTCCTTTTTCTTATCATTTTGGGAGTCCTTGATGAGAGTATTGATTTGGAATAATAAAAATGTTCTTTCTTTTTAACACTTGCTCCCTCTCCCCACAGAATAGTAAATGCTCTACAGCTTCAAGACCACCTAAAAAAGAAATCCAGAAAATTATCTGCTGGGATAACCAGAAAGGTTTGTAGTGTTTTACGTACAATGAGCACTGCAATGCTCATAGCACAAATCAAACATCCCCTTTGTCAGCAGAGGGACCTACCTGGGCTCCGAGCTGCAGGGAGAGCATCATGTTGTCTCCCATGGTGGGGTGATGGAAAATCAGCCTTTTCCAAGACCACACTGCCTACAACTCAAACCTTTATTCCCATAAATGAAGCGACACTGCTGCAGCTTTTTGTAGACTGAGTGCCAGGGACTGCAAAAGGATTGATCCAGTCCCTTTTCCCTGTCCTAGCTGTGCTTTGCAGTGGGCATGCTGGGCAACCCAGCGGTCCTGCTCCTGGACGAGCCATCAACTGGCATGGACCCCAAAGGGCAGCACTGTGTCTGGTGAGTAGGATGTTGTGCACTGTGCCACCACAGTCGTAAAGGGTGCAGTGATTAAGGCCGGGTAAAGAGTGTTTGACCCCATCTGCAGTTAGTGCTGCTTATCACTTGCCAATGGTTTTAACTGGAAATTCCATTTTCTTGGCTCTGTCCAGCTAAAACATGAGCAAGGAGAGAGAAAAAACATTTTACTTTCACCCTTATTGCAAACCTTCATAAAGGCACCCGAGTCCAAAATAGTTATTCATGTGTATATATATATATATATACACATATATTCTAATAGTGTTATTTCAAAGTATTATCATGTGCACATCAGTCTAAAGTTGCTGTATGTGAATTTTTACACTTGTTTTAGGGGAGAGGCATTTGGAGGGACAAAGGTATAAGAAAAAGTGTCCAATACTCCTAGGGAACTTTTAACTTTATTTCTCCTTCTTTTTTTATCCCCCTTCTGGTCCTCAGGAAAACGCTTCGTGCCGCCCTGAAAACCAAGGAGTCAGGAGCCGTCCTTTCCACACACCACATGGAGGAGGCGGAGGCAGTGTGTGACCGTGTGGCCATCCTGGTGTCGGGGCAGCTAAGGTGGGAATGCAGCTGAGCTAGAAAACAGGGGCTCCTCCTCCAGCTTCACCTACGTGAGCCCGTCACCGTGGGCTTTACTAAGTGCTCCCTGTGATTTCACCAGTTTGGGAAGGAGCAGATGATGAGGCACCAATGGTTTCACATGCGCATCTCTTCTTTTTCCTCCCCTCCTGCAGGTGCATTGGCTCCGTTCAGTACCTGAAGAACAAGTTTGGCAAGGGCTATCTGCTGGAAATTAAGGTGAAGGATCTGGAGCACGCTGAGCTTCTCCATGCTGAGATTTTGAGGATTTTCCCAAGCGCAGCCCGTCAGGAGCGGTAACTATACAATATGGGATGAACAGTGGTTTCAACACAAATTCATCCCTGAAAATGTGCCCAGTGTGATGGCCAGACTCAGGATCTCAGCTGGAGACGGATGACCAGCTCAGAGACCCTGTCTGGGGATCTGATTTGATAATGTCACCACATCCAACCGTGCTGTGACCACTGCAGCAAAACATGCACATATCCAGCTCATAGCATGACATAAAGTTTTGATGCCAGGACCTCAGTACAGACCAGGAATCATCTTTTCTTCTTTTTCTTCAAGGTTCCCTTCTTTGCTCGTCTACAAGGTCCCAGTGGAAGATGCACTGCCCCTGTCTCGATCTTTCTCCAAGCTAGAGGAAGGTAAGAGCAAAACAAGGTGACTTTCTGAGAAGGTGAAACACAGACTGTCATTTTTTGACTCTCTTTCCGTTTCTCCACAGCCAAACAAAACTGCAACCTCGAGGACTACAGCTTCTCTTTGAACACTTTGGCTCAGGTGGGTGATTTCTAGGCTGGATATGCTGTAAAGGCATGAGCAGGAAGAAAAGCTGCAGTGATATCTGGTGGAGCAATGAGGCTCCACCAAAAGACTGTTGGGGGGTGGTGGGTGATGGATCCTCTCCTGGGAAAGTGGTGGAAAATGGGCTGGGTTTTTTGCACTGCAGGGATTTCACGTAATGGGAATAAGTGTAGGCAAATTGTTGCTGCCTGGCTCCCCTCACCCAAGTCAGCACAGCACATCTTGTCCATTTCAGGTGTTTCTGGAACTCTCCCGAGAGCAGGAAATGGATAATTTTGACCTAAGTTTGGATGGGGCTTTTGAATGGAATCAGCTTCAGCAGGAGGACTGTTAAAGATCCAAGATGCTCATTTACGCCTTACTCCATACTAACCCAATATGATACTGTGCATATTTACTATCATTATCAGCGTACCATGAAGAGAAAGAGCAGCTTTACCTTTCCAGCAAGCATCTGCTGAGGGGTCCTCTCCAATGCAGAAGACTTTTCACCTGGACATTGCAGGTGCCTACATTAAGCCCGACCCCAACCAGCATTTCCAATGGCTGGTTGATGAAGCAGTGCCTGCACTGACGAAAGCTCTCATCAAACAGAGCAGCACACAGCAAAGGGACAAAGAGGTTTGCAGGGATCATAACCCATCTATAGGGATCGGGGCTCTGCTTTGCTCAGTAGATGTGGGTGCATCAGGGAATTCTGAACATGCTGCCAACTTTCTGGGCTCCTCTCCCACCAGTGTGGGGGGTTATTTACCTACGATGTGTTTAAATGCATCTTAATGAAATTTGCACTCTATTTTTATACCCTTCCAATAAATGTCTCTATAGAAACTGCCTTTACAGCCTCATATGTCATCATTGCTGTGGACCATCAGAAACAACTCAGACTGCTTCCCATGGGGATGGAGGTGGCTACAGAGGTGTAAAAGCTACTGGTCAGGCTGTTGTGGTCCCTCCTGTTTGCTGTCTCCATCAGCCTGGAGAAGAGAAAGCTCTGCAAAGATGCTGTAACAGCTTTTCCTTACTTAAAGGGGCTTATAGGAAAGATGGAGGCAAACTTTATAGCAGGGCCTGTTGTGATAGGAAAAGAGGAGATGGTTTTAAACTAAAAGAGGGTAGATTTAGACTAGATATAAGGAAGGAATTTTTTACAATGAACAGTGAGACACTGGAACAGGTTGCCCAGCAAGGCAATAGGTGCCTCATCCCTGGTAACATTTAGGATCAGGTCAGACAGGGTTTTAAGCAGCCTGTTCTAGTTGAACATGTCCCTGCTCACTGCAGGGGGGTTGGACTAGATGGCCTTTAAAGGTCCTTTCCCACCCAAACCATTCTATGATTCTATTATTCTCCTCCTGACAACTCAGGCCCATTTTATCCCTGAGCCCAGCTCCTTTGCAAAGGTTAAAACTCCCAGAACAAGGGTGGCAGAGTTCTCTTTATCTGATCTGCAGCAGTGGCTGTGTTGCAATCACTGCTTGGGTCTGCTCCCCACTTGGCTTCGAAACAGATTTTGGCACTTGGAGGACACAGAGGGCTCGTGATTGTTTCCCTGCTGATTGCACAACAGCTCCATCTGTAATCCCCACCCCGGGAAGTGCAATCACCAACACTGCAGTCACCTGTGCACACACTCAGCTCCAGGAAATGGGAGCTCAGGGAAAGGGAAGAGGTCTTTGAGTGATGTAAAGAAACAAACAGCAACAAAAGCCCCAGCTAAGCCCTGTTCCAGAGGGAACACCTCTGGCATCTGAATGAAGAGGAGAGCACTGGGATTCAGGCAAGACATGAAAGCAGAGAGCAGGGCTGAGGTATGAAACCCTGTGGCAATTGCATTTCCTCCTCTGGGGTGAAGAGCATTTCCTGCCTTGGCTATTCCTTCCAACCCCTCTTGCATAGTTGTTTCTTGCAAGGAACTACCACCAACCCACTGCATCCTCTGCTACCACAGGTTTGACAGACTGTTCTTCATTGTATTTGGGTCTTTTCATTACAGGGGAAGATGAAGCAAGCAGAGCTGGTTCCATCATCTCCTGCACAAGGAAGAGAAGGAAAAGGACCCACAGGAAGTCCCTCAAAGGCCAGCTGGTTGGAGCTGGGGCATCAGGGGGATAGGGCTCATGGCACTGGCAGCACACAGTCAAGATTTCCAGGTCCTGGCCTGTGGCCAGTGCTTGGAGAAAGAGGTTCTGTCACCAGCACAAAGAGGAACTCTGCTGGCAAAAGGGAACGAGCAGAAGTTCACAAGGACTTGGCTTTTCCATTGAAAAACAAAAAGAACAAGAGAGAGATTTCCTGGAAATGAACTGGCTGCTGAAATAATCCCTTCAGAGGAATTCCACCTCCCTCCTTTGCCCTGCCCTGAGCTGAAGGGCTGGGGGGGGGGGGTGGCAGGGAACATCCCCAGGAGCTGCGGTCTCTGTACCTGCTCTGTGAGCGGTGGGAATGCCCTGCTTCAGCATGCAAACCAGCTCCAAATCTGGCCTAACATTTTGGTTCTTCTCCTTGTGTTCCAGCACATCAGGAGCCCTCCATGCACACGGTGTCCCTGCTGATAAACCTGAACCAGAGCATGCTGGCCGTGCCGCAGGGTGCATCCATCAGCCCAGCACAGAGGATGAGGCAGCTTCGTGTTGTGGATGCTGCACCTTCTAACTCATGCAATAACTTGGTCTTATTAACAGGGAGATTCTTATTTATCAGAGCTAATAATGTCCTCTTTATGCAGCAAGCACACAAAGGGCCATTCACCGCCAGTTGCTTTCAGGGCTGGTCCTCAAGCACCATTCCCCAAACAGGCATCCCAGAGCAGCAGCAAAGAGCAGGCTTTGCCTTTGAGGTTAGATAAGGGAAATCAGTGCCAAGCAGTAGTGCTTGAGTTTGGAGAGCAAGGCACACGTGTGCTCAAGGTTTGGGAGCTCAGAGGCAGCATTTCACCCTGCAAGGGGCTGGGGAGGGCTGGCTTGCAAAATGTCTGGGCAGGAATGACAGGGCTTTCCAGGTCTCCTCATCCTCTCGCAGTGATAGAGAGATGAATGTTGTCTAGTTCAAATGCTAGTTAAGCAACTCCCCCTAAGTGCAAGTAAACCACAACAACAACGTGGTATTTCTGAGAGTTTCAAGGAACTTCACAAAAAGCAGTGATGCAAGGTGCAAATAGCTGACATTAACTCCTGTGAAGGAGGAGGGTAAAGCTGAGCAATGTTAAGCAAAGAGCTTGTTTTCTATAGGAAGCCCACAGCAGATGGCCTACAAGGTGGTGTCCTGCCTGCAGACACCCTGCAGAGTAAAGGCAATGTACCAAAGCCCTGTGCAGCTCATCACAGCTGTATCCTCCCGTTCACAGCAGCAGTGCCATAGGTATGTGTGCTTGTTCCCAGGCAGGAACCTCTAGATCTTGGATTTCAACTGAACAAAACCCATCCCCTTTTTACAGCAACCTGCACGGAGAGGGAAATAGGTTGACAGCATCAAACAGTTATTTGTGTGTGCCCTGGAAGGAAAGGCACTATGAACACAGCCTCCCGTGCCATGAAGGCACTGAGCATCTCCAGACAGGGAGATGAGAGGCTTTATCACAGTGAGCCAGCTCATTCCCGTGCAACACAACTGGCCATACAGGGCTGTCCCAGAGCAGAGCCAGATGTTCTTCAAGCAGAAGTGAGGCAAGGCAGATGTTGGCAACCTCGACGATGCAGGAGTCCAATTCCCTTTTTCCATTTGCTTGAGACAAAAGAGGAAATCGGGGTTGGATTATATCTGCGGGGGGGGTGAGCAGGATGGATCAGGCCTTCAGCTAATGCGAACCAATGTATGCACCCCAGTTTGCAGCATGTGAGTACCAGGATGTCACAACAAGCATCTCTCGGCCTATTTAACTTTCAAGGCATAATTCAGCTTGAATTTACTACTCATGAAAAGCTGGGAATTTCCTCTTGCGTTGGTTCTCCCTAATTCTACTGACCCCCTCAAACAGCTTTGCAGCTCAAACTATTCTCTTTAGCAGCAGATGGATAAAATATCAAGCTGAAGACTATGTGTGGCTCTGACAGCAGCCAAACCCAACAACATATTTACTTCAAAGCAGGCAGAAGGATAGCTTGTCCAGCTGGAAAAAGCAGGAAGTGTGCTTTTAAAGGAGCAGAAGAAGGGGACAGACAAGGAGATGATTGTGTAAGTCCTGGTGTTTCAATTAGGTCATGCCTGAATGATAACAGGAGTTCATGAACTTATGTTCTGGACAGAATGGAGGTGTCTGGTTTGTCCGTGTGCATCCTTATCCCAGAGCAGACATCAGATGGTGTTTTATGGACAGGTAAGGAAGGACATGGTTTAGTGTGATGTGTCCCTGCCCATGGCAGGGGGGGTATGGAACTGGATGATCTTAAGGTCCTTTCCAACCCTAACTATTCTATGATATGGGCTGTGCAGCAGAGGAGATAGAAACACACATGGGTGTCTGGGGTCATGGTGGATGCCACCAGCATGAGCACTGAATACAGCCCTCTTGCAGGGGCTTTCCAGAATGAATTTGACAGTATCAGAAGTCATCTAGTCCAGTAACTAATGCCCCCGGCGAGGTCTTGGGTTGGGTCAGAGATGGGTGGTGGATATCAGTTGGAGCCCAGATACCAAAGGCAAACACTTCCCTTGGATTTAGGCTAAGCTGGTGCAGGTCTTTCTGTGTCATTGTGGCAGCAAAACACCATGGGTTTGCAGGAAGAACTGTCACTGCCATCCACATTATCTCTCCCAGGTAACCGGATGCAGCTATAGGAACCTGTAATGCCTATAAGTAAATAATAATCTCTCTTGCAGGTGGCCACACCAGCCTGACCCTAACTTCAAGCAGCTTCCTACCTTGCAGCAGCCTTCATGCTCCATGTCCCAAATGAGAGCCAGGAGCCAGCCCAGCCATGAACTCCTCCAGCCACAAAACACACCAAGATCATCTAAGACATCCTCCTCCTCATCCAGGCATGTGAACAGAGCTTTTTTCACACAGGTTGGATGGGGCTTGGAGCAATCTGCCCTAGTAGAAGGTGTCCCTGCTCATGGCAGGGATTGGAACTGGGTGAGCTTTAAGGTCCCTTCTAACAGAAACCATTCTATGAGTTCTATTCATCCATGAGTTTGATTCTGACTTTAAAGCAAGTGCTGTGGGATTCAAGGATTTGAGGCAGTGCTCAGCCTCACCTTGGGCAGTTGAGGACATCTACTTGCTGGCACAGGCCACCGCTTCCTCCACCCACAGAACGTGGTTTTCTTTGGCCTCATGTTGAGAAATCCATTTCATGTTCTAAACACAAATCCTCCAAAGGGTTTCAGGATGCGAAGCAGGAAAAACAAAAACAAATAAGATTTATTTCTCTTTTTTTTGCTTTAATTTGAAAAATAACTGGCCTTGAAACTGCAATGGGTTTTCCCCTCTCAGGATAGGAGAGAAGGCTCCTGCCAGCCTCATGTCACAGAGCTATACCACATCACACGTGGGGAGTTGTGATTGCACCTCACAAGGGACTGAAAAGCGAGAAATGGGCTCCGGTGAGTGAATGATTGCACAATATCTTCTACATCTCATTTCCTGCATTTGCGGAACATCTATGCCCTGGCCTCGGCTTTTTACTGATAGTAAAAGGCTGTGGCAGTGATAGGGACAACTCTTCCAGGCTCAGACTGGAGGGCATGGCATGGAACTGTATCTATAAGGATGCTGTGAAAGCTAAAAGCTGATCTGGCTTGAAAAAGCATCTGAGCAAGACAAAGCTCCCCATGGGGAGCTGCTGGGGAGGGAGCAGCAGCCACTTGGCTGTTCCTTCTGCATCCAAAGGACCC